ACACATCTTACTGTGATGTTTACAAAAGGCGAAGCACACAAATTTTTATTCGCTCTTGTTGATAAACATCTGTTTTCAACAGACTGCTTGGAGCACATTATCAACATTATTCATCGGTGCAAGCAGAACTCAGAAGCAGATAAGAAGAACTTCACAGACATGCTTCGGTGGTACATAACGTTTCGTCATCATCTATTGGCCATCATACCCGAAGGTGTTCAAAACAATAAAGAAGTCTTCTGCAGCTCAACCAAAGTGAGCTTTCGGCTCCATTGACGCAAAGGGGGAGATTGTTGGGTCTAATTGTGTTGCGTCATGGGCTTATGTTTTGTATCCGGATTGGGCCTTTCCATCCGTGATTAGCTAGTAGGGTTAGACTATATATAATGCATGCATGTATGCATTAAAAGGTTAACGTTCTTGATTATTATCTTTTTAGTTTTGTAACCCTAAACACCTCTACAGTCGAAGTTCTTAATCGAGCTCTTCTGAGGTGTTAAAGCATTAATCATACGACATATTCAAAGCCATTATTGTGTTCATAATTACGTTCTTAAGTGTTTGTCTGCATAGAATCTATCGATTCTAATTGAACATTGTTTCAACAAGCTTTTTTGATTAAAAACATTAAATTTAGAAAATATAAAACTGTAAAATGTAAAAATCGACAAACACCAAATAATACAACACTTTACATTAGAAAAGGAAGTAAAATATTTATGCAGTTGAGCATGTCATAATCAACTTCAAGCTTTAAACTTTCCACGACCAACTATTAACAAAGTGTTCTTCAAAGTTTTTTTGCTTGCAAGAGTATATGAGATAACACAACTGAAGTTGCTTGTCCTCTTTGCAACAGCCCCAACTTGCAATGAAACTGTGAGAAATAGAAGTAGCAGCCATTAGACCAAAAGCAACAAAAGTACACTATTCTTTTTTTGTTTGGTTAAATTAATCGATAAAGATTATTAGCCTTTACAAATGAATCTACATATCTACAGCTAAATGATATTGATGGAAGCCTATTTATTATGTTGCACCAGAAGTCCTCCATAGATTATCTTATTAGCATTTTCAAATGAATTTCTCTATCATCAACATCCGACTTTCATTTATGTCTACTGTAGACTATGTATTATGTTGCACCATAAGTCCTCCTAAGTGAGTTATGTCATAATCTAATCACTGCAACACATTCCCTACAACACATTTTTAGTAAAAGTTAGTGGAGAAACATACCTTGATTAGAGAGAGGCCGGTCCTCAAATATTCCAGGTTTAAAGTCTTTGCGAGCAGTATTTTTTAAGATCACAAGCAAAAACTAATTCATTGTCCTTCACTCTTTGTAGTTTATCAATAATTTTAAGCATAATAGAACACTTCCCTCTAACTATGTCACAAAGATTAGTCAAGAAGTGAAAGAAGGAAGCGTGCCTTTTTGTGAAAGTCACATGCAGAAGCAAACTTGTATTAAATATAAGTGTTTAAAATTTACAGTATTTTATCATTTTTACAAACAGCAATTGATGTGAAAAAAAAAACATAACATGGCCTGAATGAAACATACCTTGATTGGAGAGAGGTCATAGAATAAAAAGACTCCATGAAGTTATGTATAGTCTTGTAATTGACTGTCATAGAGAACTATATAATATAAAAATTCAATATTTTACAACATAGAAGCAAGCCGAATAATCCAACAATCAACATCTTATAATATGGGCAGAATGAGAATTAAAGAAAAAGATAAAGGGCTCACTGTTGATCGAGGTTTACCACCATGTTCACCCATAAAAACGATTTTTGTAGTGTCTTGCAACCAAACATTAGTTGAATTGTACTTACATGGTGTTGGTTAAGAAGATCGAGGTTTCACAAGACTTCAAATGAAATTAACGCAAAAACTGACTCACCAACGACAATAAGTAACGATTCCTTATCGTCTCTTTTTCAATCGACCCTAAACAGTAACAATTTGTCGTCTCTTCTTCAATCCGACCTGATTGCTTAGTCATATGTCTTGTTTCTCCAAGTAGCTCAAACTGAAATGTTTAACTGGGAATCCTTCGAAAGTACTGAGAGGGAGTTTTTTGGGAGTGGATTTAGGATTGATAGAGGAAAATAGAAGGAATAGGCCACATAAAACATCAGAGTGTAACATCCGGATTTCCAGGTCTGTATTTTCTATTATTTATTTTGAGTATAGGAGAGGAACTCGACGAGTTGACGCCTAGACTCGTCGAGTTGGATCGCGACTGATGACTCGGATTAATGAAGGGACTCGACGAGTCGGAAGAGTAGACTCGATGAGTCCGCGCTGAGGTCAGAAATCCTAAATCTCCGGGCTTGTGCCCTATTTAAGGGACCTTATAGCCCTCATTTGCGGCAACCAGTCCAGAGAGAGAGAAACCCTAGAGAGCTTGAGCGAGTTGTGTGAGAGAGAGAGCTATTTTGATCCTTTTTGGTGTGGCTTTGCAAAGTAGAAGGTGTTTCCAGCAAGAGAAGGTCAAGGGGGTTGCTATTCTGTGGTTTTCAAGCTTGAGTCTTTATTGTTGATGTAATAAAACGACCCCTTCTTCTGTTTTGTATGAGATCATTAAATCTAGGGTTTTCTCTACCCCTTTATTGGCTTGAATTGATGCATATGTTGTCCCTTTGAGTGTTAGACTCTGGATCTAGACCTTTAGAGGTCCAGAGAGCATTATCTATCCTGCTTTATGTTGTCCCATGGAGGAAATGAACCTAGGTTGCCATTTTAGAAGCCATTTCACCAAAAGAAGCCTTGGGTGCGTTGCATGAGTGTCAATATTTGACCTTTTCGTGATTATTGGCCATGGGGAGGTCAGATCTATAGGTTAGAGAAGCAGATCTGACCTCAGAAGGTCATTTGAGCGTTGCTATGAAGGAAACTCGTCGAGTCCATGAGGGAACTCGACGAGTCGAGTCGGGTTGCCCCGCGATTCGTTTCCAATGGTAACCCGTCGAGTGGAAGGATCACTCGACGAGTCGAGTGAGGCATTACGAGGAGTCAGAGGACACGCATGGACTCGCCGAGTCACACGAGTGCACTCGGCGAGTCTGATCAAAGTTTGACCGTTGACTTGAGTTGACTTTCGTTGACTTTTAGGGTTTTGGTCAACATTTGGACTTTTGGGTCAGGGAGGGGTAAAATGGTCTTTTACCCTTCTGTGGGATTGTAGAAAGAGCAACCTAGTCTTTAGGAGCCGTTATTTATTGAGGAAATTGTTTATGTGGTTAGGCGGGAGGCTAGATCAGTAGTTCGAGTGCGAGATTATCCGAGTTACCCGAGGTGAGTCTTCTCACTATACTTTACCTAGAGTGGTATCTATGTGCAGGCCGGAGGGTCTTATGTGTATGTTCGAGATTATGTGCATTGTGATATATGTATGATATGTGTTGTATAGACCGGACCGGAGGGTCCAACAATATAGACCGGGCCGGAGGGTCCAACGAGCTATGACCGGACCAGAGGGTCCAACGAGCTACGAGACTGGAGGGTCCCGCTGAGACACATCGACTGGAGGGTCGTACTGTGATATAGCCTTGAGTGGCGTATGTGTTGTATGGGGTATTTTGGGGAACTTACTAAGCATTTATGCTTACCGTGTTGAGTGTTATGTGTTTCAGGTACCAGTGAGGATCGCGGGAAGGCGACGGCATGATCTGTACACACTTATGGAGTCTTTCTGTATTGCGATCTTGGGATATGTTCTATTGATATGGGATACACTGGATTTTGATGATTTGTGAATGAAATGATATTTTTTTTAAAGTGAAAAATTGTTTTGAAAATTTACGTTGTTACACAGAGTATGAGAAATATGAGAGAGAAGGAGCGGTGGGGAAATAAATTCAAAGTTGGAGAAGATTTGCTTTCCGATTCTTAGTGATTACGTCCTAATTTCATGGGATTGCATTCAAATCTCTAAATGAATTGAAGGAATAGGCGAGACCGGGAGTTAAAGGAAAGGGTATAATTGGTAACTAACATAAAAACTATAAGCGGGAAAAGTATATGAGTGGATGTCAAGCAAATGACACGTGGATCATAGGTACTATTTTATTAGAATTGGGGATTGGGGATTTATTTATATTAAACTCTCAGAATATTTGTTATACAAACTTTAATTTCCTTACAAATATTTTATAATAATTAATGTTTGTTATGTATGCCTTTAGAGCACATATAGAAAGTCCCTTAATTTTTTGATAATATGCATATGTTAACCAACTTCACACCTAAGTTCTATTAACAATCCTAAAATTATATAATGTTGAAGGAAATGATTTCACAAGATTGTAATACAAATTTCAATATTTCCGGTATTATAAAAAATGTATGCTTACAATTTTTTATATTAAATCTTTTTTTTTTCAAACTGGGTCTCAAACTTTTATATATATATATATATATATATATATATATATATATATATATAACCATAATTAACCAATGAATAAGAAACTAATTTTTTTTTCAACTTTTAGAACATATTTTTTATAAAAAAAAACTAAAAATACAAAAATTCATAACTTTTTATCCTTTTTCCAATGATATCAAATTCAAATTTTTATTTTTTTTTACGTCAAATTCACAATGTGAATCTTTGAAAATTCACAATGTGAATCTTTGAAAATTCACAATATGAATCCGTATTCACATAATAAATTTGAAAATATTTTTCACATTCACAATATTAATATATGAGTTTAAATATTTTTAGATTTTTTTTTCGATAAAGAATAAGCTTTAAAAATTGAAAAAAAGATTTAGCTCCTTGAAGAACCAATAATTATGATTCTCTATTAAACATTTTCATATATATATATATATATATATATATATATATATATATATATATATATATATATATAGCTGGTGGCGGCATTTATAACTTAATACGGTCATTAGTAGTAAAAAATTTTGACTTTCAATCAAAAACTAAAACAATAATTTGCGCACAAAAAAAGCATACATGGAATCATGTATTAAACCCAAACGTATTGTTAACAAAAATAAGGTGGTAACATTACATCAACAAACTCATTCTAAAACCAAAATTTAACTCAACCTTTTCCCCTCACAAACAAATGAGTAAAATTCATATTATCCCTAAAAACATTTTAATCTACTCAAAAGCATCATCATCGTCATCTGGAAGAGGCTGGCTTGCAGCTTGAAGAAGCTCTGCCTCATGCCTACGAATATCACAAAAAAATATTGTTCATTTTTTCTTATTCATGCCCACGAATTAAAAACAAGAGTAGCATATACAGGTATTTCTTTTTACAAGGGTATATTGGTAATTAGGAAAAAAGAAAAGGATGGTTAAATCTTACTGTTGTTGAGCAGCCATATCAATTTGCACTTCTGGGGGAGCAAGAGCAGGAGACTCCACAAAATGCAAATTTGGATCACTGATATCAAATACTTGACAATGTCACAAATAAAATACAAAAAAATAGCAATGTACTTTATTTTATTTTGAAAAAGCTTGCCAAATTATCAATATTTGTTTATTCAAAAATCAATTTGTAATAAGAAGCAATAAAAAAATAGGATGCTATAATTAAAGATTAGATAAAAAAATTACCCAGCAAGTTTCCTGGCAAGATAGAGGAAAGGCTTCTCGAAATTGTAATTACTCTTTGCAGAAATTTCATAATATTGCAAATTCTTCTTTCTGTGAAAAGTCACTTGTTTTGCCTTCACTTGACGATTCTTCACATCAACTTTGTTTCCACATAATACTATTGGAATGTTCTCACAAACCCTAAAAATAAAATAAATTCAACGTCATATATTACACATTTAAATAGATACCAAGCAATTCCAAAACCAAAAACCAAATCATTAGATAAAGAGAAAACAAACCTGCAAAGATCCCGATGCCATGTTGGAACGTTCTTGTATGTCAATCTTGCTGTCACATCAAACATGATGATTGCACATTGACCATGGATGCTACAGATGAAACAGCATTGTTGGAATTTGGTTAGAACTCAATAGATTCGACAAACAATTCCAAAACCAAAAACCAAATCATAATTATATATTATGCTCATTTTTAGGTCACTAAGAATACGTCCTCCAAAATAAAAAATGGAGCATAACTTTACTACAATTAACTTTAGAATAAACTTCTGATAAAGATGCTTACTAATATCCATCTCGAAGGCCACCAAACTTTTCCTGACCGGCTGTGTCCCAGCAGTAAAACCGGATTTTCCCACAGTTGGTGAAGAAATCCAACGGGTGTACTTCAACGCCAATGGTTGCTAATCACAATCAAAAAACAATCCATCAACAATAATCATTATAAAAGCCGAAAAAACTAAGATTGAAGTAAAAGAAATGCAACAAAAACTAATTGCTAGTTCTTACGTTCGTATTTCTTCTCAAATTCTCCAGTCAAATGTCTCTTTACAAATGTGGTTTTACCTACACAAGCGAAATATTCAACGATCAGTTGATTAAAATCGCAAACATTCTAAATACAAGTAGATCTTATCGATTCTTAGAAGAACTAGGTTGAAACAAATTGTAATGATGAAATTTGAATCGACAGAAACGACGAAAGTGATTAGAGTTTACCAGTTCCACCATCGCCAACAATTACAAGCTTGAAACTAGGGTAATCAACAGTTTGCTGATTCGGCAAAGCCTGAAACGGATAAAAACGCTCAAAATTTAGAACATAAACACGGTATTTTCGTTTAAATAGACGCAAACCAGAATATTAAAATAAAACTTCCAACCAATCATCGGTTCAAGTTCTAGATCGAAAAAACGGAAACCCACAAAATTGGAAGAAAATCCGGAGAAATCAAACATGAATACAAGTTATTTCAAAAAAACAATAAAAAATCAAACACGGAAAATTAAAACATGAATCCGATGCTTTACATCGAGAATAACACAAGCACAAACAATAAAAAATCAAACACGGAAAATTAAAACATGAATCCTATGCTTTACATCGAGAATAACACAAGCACAAATAAAAAGTGAAACAGTAAAAAGCATACCATTTTGAACGCTGTCTCCAGAAGTGATGAACGATTGAACGCAGAATTGTGCGTAGTGTATTGGGGTTTATATCTTTCACAATTCTTCCACTCTCAAGTTAGCTTTAACCTAACGCGTTTCCATCCACCGTCAGATCAGTTTTGTTTGTGACTGGCCGTTGATGTATGGACACGTGACATTCATGTGATCTGGGGCAGTTTTTGAATTTTTAATGCTCACGCGGTACTTTGTACTATTTTTTTCAAATTTTTGTTAATATTGGAAAACGGGTAAATTTACAATTTGCACTCCTTATTTTCATCTTTTACTTCAAAAACACCTTTTACTTCAAAAACACGTAACTAACAAATATTGGAATATATACATTAAAATACTAATATTTTTAACGATTTGACAAAAAAATCATATATTTTATTTTTTGATAGTAAAATCTTAATTATCGGCAGTTTTTTAAACATTTACCATGTTTTTCCGGTTATCCGGTAATTTGGATTTTATTGTTAAAAATACTAAAGTTTAGAACTTTCTTGTCAAATCGTGAATTAGGATTTTACTGTAAAAAAATAAAGTTTAGGATTTTTTTTTTAAATCGTTGAAAATATTGAAACTTTAGTTTATATATCTTTTTTTGTTAGAAATTTAATGGTAGGATAGTCTTCAAACATAATAGTTATTGGAATCTGCTCTAGTCAGCTAGATATTACTGAAATCCTTAACGTTTACTTCTTGTTAAACACTTTTTTTATCTTAACATACCGACATTGAAAAAAATAGAGATAATCAAGAAAGAAATAAAGAAAGAAAGAACAGGGTTGTGTTGGTTTTTTGCAGTCCTAAAAATGGATAACTAAGAAACCAAAAAATAAAACTGTCTTTCTTACCTCTTCTCCACATTCACACCATTTTGACTAGGCGTGTGTTGTTTGTGTTTGTATAATATGTCCCCTCTTTTCAGTTCAAGATTTGACGGTGAACCAAGAAGAAAGTTTTACAAGTCTTCTTACCCTCTCTCGCTCTCTTTTTTGCATCTGTTTCCCTTAAACATTATTGTAGCAATGTAAAGATGATGATGGTAAGAAAAAGAGTGGTGTTGCGACAAAAATCACAATTAAACGTCATTGGACTATGAATTGGGTCTCACGAGACTGATAAAATTATTTGTTTCTAGAAACTAAGACTATACACTAAAGTCTCAATATTTTCAACGATTTGTGAAGAAAGTCCTAAACTTTTTTTTTACAGTAAAGTTCTAATTACTGGCTAACCGGCAAAAAATGGTAAGTATGTCAAAATTTGTTGAAAGTTAGGACTTATTGTCAAAAAAATAAAGTTTAGAACTTTCTTGTCAAATCGTTGAAAATATTAGGACTTAGTGTATATATCCCAACAAATGTTTCTAGATGTATTTTTAATATGAATTCTTTCACTATAGTTTTATGTATTAAATTTCAATATGAAGACCTATAAGTAGTTGGTAAAATATCCTTATACATGATTTGTGGCGCAAAATTAAACTTATAAAACTCCGTAAAATATATATACAAAGCCTAACTTAAGGTCTAATAGAAGATGCAAGAAAGATGGTAGAGATATTTGATTGTATTTGGTTAAAACGATGTAGTTTTTTATGGTTTAATACCTAATATTAGATACATAACAGCCACATATTCCGTAAGTCCATATATATATATTATATATATATATATAATATAATATATATATATATATATTATATATATATATATATATATATATATATATATATATATATATCATACATCATACATACTTATAAAACTACCATTTTTTCTTGAATCTCATGCATTTGAAACCCCATTTTTTAACTTCCTCAAACCACATTCATTTGAAACCCCATTTTTTAATTAATGCAACTCAAAAGTTTTCTTAATTATGATTTAACACTCAAAAATTTTATAACTTATATTATGTTTAATTAGTATTTAGTGAAAAGTTTACTATAAAAAGGTCAATCTTTTGTGTCTTTTGTATTATATAAAATCTTCCATGTAAGAAGGATTTGAAGATATTGTGATTCAAAAGTTTTCATATAGTTGAAGCATTCACGATCCAAATATGATGATTTGAAGAAATGGGTTATGTCGCATCGATGGTAATTGTAATATGATTTTTTTCTTTCAACCAAAACAAATGAAGTTTTTCTATTCTTTATTTATATTCAGTTTCTCATTTAATCTTTATATGTGATTTGTGTGTATTACTCAATATTGAATGTGACTCTCCAAACATCAATGTTTTGCTTGGAATATCTTTCTGATTCTTCTTTTTCAAGAAAAATATTTTGATTACAGGTTAGTGAAGAATTGTCATCAAGTTTCTGTGGTTGAATGGTGTTAAATGAAAAATAAGATTCATAAAATGGATATAGGTTTTTTTATTTGAGCAAAGTTGACGAATGTTAGTTTTTTCTTTTGATTTAAATGTATGTTTATGTAACATCTTTATTTATATATTCAACCACCCAATGCTCTTATTTATTTGATTGTAGTTTTTCTATATTGATTATGTTTATTTTCAATTATTTTTTTGTTGGGTTATCCTACACAACATATTTAAAAGACATTATTTAAAATATAACATAATTTTGAACATTTGATATGTAATTATGATAGACTTATCATGATATGTTCTTCATATGAAAGTAATTTATCCATATTACTACGACAAGAATCACATATGACATTTACGAAAATATATATATTATATGTGATTTGTTTAACATGTATATGCATCTATGTATATTATAAATTTATAATTAAATATCTTTATGTTTAATAATTGGAGGGATTAAAATGATGTATCAAAACCAATTATTTAGACGAATATAATAATAATAATAATAATAATAATAATAATAATAAATATACATTTCCAAGTACCGCATTCATTTAAAACTCACACTACAACTCAAGAGTTTTCTAATTTATGTATATTTATTAGTTACAACTCAAGAGTTTTTAACTTATGATTATTAATTAGTAACCACTAATAACTTTTTATTTTCCTTTCTTTTATAAGGTTGTAAAGTTTTGCTCATTAAAAACATTAATGTATTTGAAGAGATTTGTGATATAAATATGAAGAGTTAATATAAATGTTATAATAGTTGTTTTAGTGTTTTTATGTTATTAAAAGTTATAGTGTTTATTTTCATATTTTTTTATTATTCGTTGTATATATATCTTTTTTAATACAAATGTTATAATAGATGTTTTTCTATTTTTATGTTACTAAAAGTTGCAGTTCATATTTTTGTTCATACGTTTTGTTACCTGTTATATTATCATTCATTTGATATATAATTTACACAATTTTAAACGGTTTATAAAATTATCAAATAATTGTATATATCACAATGACTTAAAATTTAAACTATAATGTTTAATAAAACTAATATGTTAACTATATGCTTGCTTTACTACTAACATTTTGTTTCAAAGTAGAAATATTAAATAATAATTTGGTAAAAGTTATTATTTTAACTATATAATTTTATTCTCGCGCAACGCGAAAAGATTCGCCTACTATACTTATAAAGGAAGTATTTTTCTTTCACCACATTCATTTGAAACTCCCATAACTTTTCAATTTCTTTCTAATAATACTAATTATAAGTTGTTTAATAAGGTTAAATAAATATCAAACCTAAAGTCTAATCATATATAAACTAAAATTCAATATTAAAATAATATATTTACTTCTACTTATAAAGTTATGTTTTTTAACTTTTAACATATTATACTTAATTTATTAATTTTAATATATTGTTGAATGTAAATCATTATCATTTTAGATATACAATTTTGGAAAAATTTGTATAAAATACTTAAATAATTACTTTAAATATAACATTACAATGTCAACTTAAATATAAATTTTAGTTTAACTTAAACAACGCAAATAATATTTTGTAAATAGTTAAAAGTGGTAAATTGTAGTGTCTTTCTAATAATGATTATAAGTTAGTTAATAAGGTTAAATAAATATCAGAACTAAAGTGTAATCATAAATAAACTAAATTTCAATTCTAAAAATAATATCTTTACTTCTACTTATAAAGTTATGTCTTTAACTTTTAACATATTATACTTAATTTATTAGATTTAAAATGTTGTTGTATGTAAACCATTATCAGATTAAAGCTACAACTTTTGAACAATTTGGACAAAATACTTAAATTGTTAATTTAAATATAACATTACAGTGTCAACTTAACTATAAATTTCAGTTCCATTTAAAACACCAAAAAATATTTTGTAATTAGTTAAAAGTGATAAATTATAGTGATAAATGCAAAAACTAAATTGTAATCTCAAATTAACTAAAATATTTCCTAAATATATTTTTATAATCGCTAAAAGTTTTCAAATAAGTAGCTTAAAATGAATTACAATAACAATAGTTAAATAACACTATATAAATGATTATATTGTTACCTTTAAAATCAAAAAACAATGTTTGATGTTTTAAATAATTATAATGATAGAAATAAAAACATTAATCAAATAAATTTTAAAAAAATGAATTAACAATAACAACACCTATAAATAACATTAAACCATATATTATATTTAACTTTATTCATGTGTAACCATTATCATTTTAGAGATATAATTTTGGAAAAATTTGTATAAAATACTTAATTCATTAATTTAAATATAACATTACATGGTCAACTTAAAGATAAATTTTAGTTTAACTTAAACAAGCCGAAAAATATTTTGTAAAAAGTTAAAACTGAAAAATTATAGTGTCTTTAATAATGATTATAAGTTGGTTAATAGGCTTAAATAAATATCAAACCTAAAGTGTAATCATAAATAAACTAAATTTCAATTTTAAAATAATATATTTACTTCTACTTATAAAGTTATGTTTTTAACTTTTAACATATTATACTTAATTTATTATATTTAAAATGTTGTTGTATGTAAACCATTATCAATTTAAAACTACCACTTTTGAACAGTTTGTACAAAATACTTAAATTGTTAATTTAAATATAACATTACAGTGTCAACTTAAATATAAATTGCACTTCCACTTAAAAAGCCAAAGAATA